GTGTGTGTGTGAGTGTGTGTGTGTGTGTGTGTGTGTGTGTGTGTGTGGTGAGGAAACCTGAGATGCTCTTGCATCTCTAAAGTGCAGATGGGGAGCAGAGCAATGTGCCGCCACCCAGGTACTGTCCCGTGAATCCAAGGAGGCACACCCACTTTCCAGATGAAGCAGCAGTCTCCGGAGGTGTCCAAGAACACACTCACGGCTGGTAGCAGGCAAAAAAGCTCAGCGTAACCTTAGGGTTATTGCTGGACTCTGGAGTCGCACACTGCCTGGCCCAGCAGTGAGTCCCCATTCTGATCCCTGTTGCCAGCCTTAATGCTCCTGCAGGGCAGTAAGTAGATGGTTGGGGTGAGCCCAGAAACAACACTCGTATGTTAAAAAAATTTTCTAGTTCACATCTCACAGACACCCAGAGAATAGAAGGAATCCGCATCTCATCTACCCTCATCACCCTGGAAATCCACTGGGTACCGTCAGGGTGGCGTTGACATCAGGCACGCTGTGTAGTGAGCCAGCAAGCAAGCCTGGGGCCACCTTGGTCCATAGAGGGGCCATGTTGGCCCTCCCTCCTTGGCCAAGAGAGAACAAAGTAGGTCCCTGTTCAAGCCCAGCCACCCTGGAGGGCGGCTCAGCTCCTCCCTCCCTCCTTCCCTCCCGCAGACCGAGCTCAGCTTGATGGGGTGTGACAACTGCAATTAGAGGCAGGCCGCCTGCTGCCCCCAGAGCATTAAGAGCAAATTGGAGAAGAAAAATAACAAGAGAAGCTCTTCTGCCTGCAGCCGGGGCCTGAGGGATATAGTGGAGGAAGGGGGAGCTCAGGCTAGAACTGGGTGTGGGGCGGTAACAGCAGCTATGGGGTGGGTCACCTGCAAGATCCCACACAGTCAAATGACAGAGGGTCATTTTTTTTTTAAGTGGGGAAAGACTTTTTTATTTTTATATTTGATCTGTCACTTTTTGTCAGGCAATGCGCCCATCTCTTTCAGACCTAGAATGACCTGGAATCATTTTCCCGATAAATCAATGGGTCAAAGAGTCATGGCACACAAGCTGCCCAGATCAGGCTGCTCACAGAGGAGAGCAGTTTCCAGTCTGGATCCCTGGGCACCGGCCGATCTACCTTGGCCAGGAGTTTATCAGCTGGGCTCACTCTTTCTGGCCAAGTAGATCCTTGTCCATCCTGCCTCCTCTGAATTCCTTTAACGGTGGCTGTCTTTGGTGGCTGCAGCAATGTGTGTAAAGAAGGAACTTACACCAATTCCTGTAGGGTGGATCACTCAAGAAATCATTTAAGAGGACATGGGCTATGACGGTATGGGAAGCCAAATTGCTTCTTCACCATCGACATGCAACTCATTTGTTTTGTGGACTAATGGTGGTTAATGTCTAAATCCACTAACACAACAGTCTCCTCTCCTGCCCGGGCATTGTGAACCTGGCCAGAAAAAGAGTCCAGAGACCCAAACAAAACAATTAGGAAGTCATTTTGGCTTCCAGGATAATCCACAGGTGCCGGGCACCTTTGCTGTTATTTCTCTTATTTCCTTTTTGCCACGCCCAGGGAATGGTAGTTCATTTTACCTGAACAGAGGCTCAGCGAAGTTAACTCCTTCAAGGTCACCTGGTACAAAGCTGGGATGGAAACAGTTTCTAATTGACTTTCAATCTTGTGTTCCTGCTGCCTGGCAAACTGTCTGTATCTGCTCCTCAGCCAGCTCAAGAATAACAACATTTGTCCTCTGAGATTATTCACATCTCTCCATGATTGACAAGTGTCCTGTCCATTATCTATTTGAGGAGTATCTATTGGAAGAATTTTGCCTGGGTCTCAAAGGGGCTGATACAACGTCCCAACGACTATGTTATGCTTTGCTGATGAAAGCTTTTGGAAACCCAACCTCATATAATTTTGACTTTTTTTGTCCGCATTCTTGGCTCCTGCTGAGGCAGTGATGGAGACTGCTCTACTGGAGTCAAGAGGTGACTAGTAATGCCTTGGGCCTTAATGATGTAGAGTGCGGGGCAATGTGTATGTGGAGAAGATAGTGAAAGAGTAGGCAGAGAAACTAACAGCTTAATTCTGCCTCTTGGGCTCATTTTATGGTTAATTAGGACACACAAATGATCTGGAAGCTCACTTAATACCCTTCTCGGCATGGAGGCTGGCCCCACATCTGGCCTAATTTCTTGGCAGGTACTGAGGGTTTCTGGTTGGGCTAGGCATATTCTCAGGGCTCTGCCTGCCTCTCTGTGGTCAGGCTGTAGATATTCTCCAGCCACGGCACCCACTGGAAAATTCCTTCACTGCTAGGCATGGCTGGTAGAACTCGCTGGATCTCTTTCCTCCCTCTTTGCAGGCCACAGAGCCAAAAGCTCTTTCTTCTCTCCTCCAGGCACTTCTGCAGCCTGCCCTCAGGGTGATCTCTAACCCAAACTGCTCCTTGAGGGACAGACACTTGACTCACCCATTCCCTAGAGGCTCCATAGGAGAGGGTCTTGTCTTTCTCAAGTCACCCCAACGTTCTCTGCAGGGTATCAAGAGTATAGCCTGTTTGGGGGAGCTGCAGCCTGTCAGCAGTTTCTCTGGAGAAGTGTCCATTCACCTCAGGTGATCTCTCCAATCAGGGCAGTTAGGCGTTTCTGCCAGCACCACACATTTCTATGAATTCTTGATCTGGAGTCAAAGAGATAGGGATCCAGACCCAGGCCTATCATCGAATGACCCTGAGCACGATTCCTGATGGAGAGGAGGCTCCTCCGCTCTCATGTGAAGCAGGGATGAAGCAGGACCCCTGTCAGGTGCAAAGCACAAAGGACTGGGGTGGAGTCCACTATTTCCAACACACAACTTCTACAGAAATGGCACTAGCCACCCATTCCCTGCCTAATCACAGACCCCAAGGGACAATGCTGAAAATAAGCAGTGCTTTCTCCGAGCCCTGGTGTTCCCTAAAAAAGTACACTGTGACTCTCATTTTATCACGGAATTGTGGCAAGGATCAGAGAGGTGTGTGGTTGTGGTTTTGTCCACTACAGATATTGCGCATCTGGGCTGTTTTGCCAAATGTTACACTCATACTTTTTGTCAAGTGGGGAGGCTAGCGCCCTGGGCCAGGCTAGGAAGGTGCTTGGGACCCCCACTGCCTAAGAACCTGCCCTAGGGACATACCCAATGTCATACACCCAATCCTCCCCCTCTGACAACCTGGGACCTCAGCTGCAAGTCAAATAAATGAGATAAATGAGGCAATGTCTGCTGACCAGCTGTTTCTCCTTAGTGGCCAGATTTCCTTCTCTGCTAAGTTACACCACCCCTTTTCTCTAGGCACCCTGGGGGCCGTCCCTAAGAGTCATCATTTCCCCCATGAAGCCTGAATTTGACATGACCTACTCCTCGCCCTTCCCATGACCTTTTCCTTCCATCAGTCCCAGCACATCCCTTCCATCCGCCTCCTCCAGGCCCAGTGCACACCCATGCAAGCCATCACCAAGGAATAATCTTTGTCCCTGGGACAAAGTCCTCATTCTTACATTCCAGTCCCCCGCTGGAGTCCTCTCTCTCTCAGTGCTCCCTGAAAGCCCCTCTGTGTTGGTCACAGGTCACAAGTCAGAGCCCATAGCTGGGGCAAATCTCTCACAGGAGATCTTGACAACTACTAGGCTTTTCTTTCCTCTGTATCTCCTCAAGCAGGATCCCTGACTGAACTTTACCCTGTCCAGGGACAGTAGGAATCAGTGTTCTGCACCTCTGCTTAGTTTTAACTCTCCCTAATAGTGTACCTTTTGCTCTCTAGCCTTCTGGCCAGACAGGGTGGTTTGGACACCCATTTGGGAGCTGCATTACATGCAGCTGGTTCAAATGGGAGAAGCCGTCCTCATCGAAGTAAGGTCCAGGGTTTGTAAGGACACCAATGGGATGTAGCTATTTGTGACTTTATCCCGGTCTGTCTGTCCCAAGTGTCAGAAGTCCAACCTTGCTCAAGCAGACCCCACCTGACTTGCTGGCCCTTATTTCTGGAACGTTTCACCCTCTTTGCCCACCATGAAGATGGGTTACCATTAGTGCTCCAAGCCTAGGTCTGACTGTGCCGTCCTGAGTCCAGTTCCTGCCCAGACTGCCTTCTACTTTTCTCGGCTTGAAAGCCACCACGGAACCCTCCCATAGGCCTTGTCTGTGCCTTGGCCTAAACCCCAGTACTTACTCAGCTGGTGAATAACTTCTGTGTGAGCTTTCCTTCTCCTCCAGACCTCTGAGCACCTCCAAGGTAATGACTACTCAGCATTTCTGCTCCCAGTACTGAGCCCGGGCTGCTGGGCATGTTTTCCACCCCCCTCCACCCCACAGTTTATCCTGCTTAGGGAAAGCCAGCGGCCAAGCTTTTCTTAGCGGACCCCCTCCTATTCTAGTTTTCACAGCTTCAAAGTTCATTTCCTAGGAAAGAGGGGAGTCGTGACCAATTATTGTCAGAGCAGGGAACTTCAGTGACACCCCCCGCCCCGAGCTGTTGTGCAGTCCTGGTCCACTGCTCGGCTTCTCAAACTCTATTTTAATTCTGGCTGGCTGTGGAGTCTCACCCCCCCCCCCCTTTGTTGTCATGCTGTCACTGGGCTGCTCAGGTCTTTCAGATGATCACAGCCACTTCTCTCTCAACTGCCACTGAAGCCACCTTTGTCCCAGCCCCCACATTTTCTCCCTTTTTTTGCCTGGCCTCTTTTCTCCAGCCTTCCTGACCTGGGTCACCTCCATGGATATCCTTTTTACCACTATCTGGTCCCAGACCTTCCTACCTCAGGATGTTTTCCTAAATTGCCATGACTAATGGGGACGCCAAGTCTGCTAGATCCTCCTCCTCTTATTGTAACTACCAAGGGAGGGGACGGGCGGGCAGGGTAGGAGGGAAGAAAATTGAGAGCTGGGTGGTCAGCAGCTCTACTCCAGTTCCACTTCTGGCCACACTCCAGGCATTGTCTCCCCACAAGGCACAAAAGGAGTACAGGCTCTTGTGTGGAAGTTGTGGAAGAGGGCTGGACACCAGGAACTTAGAAAGGTGGTGTGTGTTTGTGTGGGTGCTGGGGATGGACTCCCCGGCTTTGCTAATGTGAGATCCACACTCTACTACTGAGCCACCTCCTCCCTAGCCCTGAATCAAGCACTTAGAAAAAAAAAATAAAGCAACAGTTTCTTCTAAATTAGGCAAGCACGGCAGAACCCCTGCCTATCATCAGTTTCCTGGGCATCTCAGATCACAGCCATGGTTGACTCACACCCACCAGTGGACTAAGGACCTAGCTCATCATCACAGAGCCCTAATGCCAAACTGAGGGAAGTAACTGTTTTCATACCCTCTGCCGAGGTTCCAAGCATCTGTCAAGGAAACTCAGACTCCAGAAAATGGTTAAGTTTTGCATTAGTGGATCCAGGGGCCCAAAGACTCCAATGCTTCTGGTGTAGGTGGTGTAGGCTTTAGGCCCCTGCTGGGAGTACAAGGATCAAGTAGTGTCTTCAAGCTTTTCTGTTAGCATTACACAGCTCACAAAGGACAGGAGACCTACTTTGCAAATTGGGAAGGCTGAATGCCTAGCACTCCCTTATTCCAGACTTTGCTTCAAATTACAGCCCATTGAGCTGGAGAAGAAAATCTCGGTAATGCTTAGGCAAGTTGGGCCTGGAGCTACATTAGTAATGGTGGCCTATAGACTTCACACCCACATGGAAGGGCCTGACAATGAGGAATCTGGCACTTACCTGACAGGACTAAAAACTGTGACACAGCACAACCCTAGATGGTCAGAGGGGCTGCTGCCTCATCTACGGTATAAAGAGAGGGGGAACCGAGTAAAGCATGGAGCTAGTAGTTACCAAATGTGAGAAGAACCAACCATGTCAGATAACACGGAAATAAGAGCAAAAGCTTTTCATGATCCTTTCTAATATCCTTGTGAGCCAGTGTCAGGAACTGGTGGTTCATAAAGAACTGATAAGTGTAATTTGTATGGGTGTTTTGTCTGCATATATGTTTGTTCACATGTATGCAGTGCCCATGGAACCAGAAAAGGGGTTGGTAGCCTGGAACACAGTTGTGAGCTACCATTTCGGTTCTGGGACCTCTTCAAGAACAGGTGCTCTTAACTGCTGAGCCATCTCTCCAGACCCCAACAGTATTCTTGATGACATACTATTGATTCTATGCTGTGCCTTTTGCTAAAATCCTTCCCAGACTACTTCTGATTTCCATATTCAACTCAGCCAATCCTATTATCTGCAGTTCTCCTCCCACCATACGGACCTCTTCATTAGTCATGCCCAGGATATGCCAGAGTAAGGCACTCGTCTTTACCCTTTCCCCGTGTGAAGACCCTTCTTTCTCCCAGGCAGTTGGCATGGGCTCGCATTTTCAGTGTTTCCTCACATAACCAACACAGGGACAAACAAACCTTTCACCCACTCATTCCTGCTGCCCTTTGTACCATATAATTTTTTCTTTCCTTTTTTTTTAAACAGCATCCATCATAATAATCACGCAGGGTTTTTAACAGTTTTATTTATTTAACGTGAGGTATGTGCACCATGTGTGTACATGCGCAAGTGTCCTTGTATATGTTTGTAAAAGCCAGAGGTCAATGCTGAGTCTGCTCTCTCACTCTCCGCTTTAAAGTGGGGTCTCTTTGCTTGGCAGGAGCTCACTGTTTGTTTGGCTGGACTTGATGGCCAGTCAGTTCCTGGGACCATCTTTTTTCACTTGCCAGTGTTGGGACTACAAGAATTAGTAAGCCCCGCCTTTTACATGGGTGTGTGAGTGCTAGGGATCTGAACTCAAGTCCTTATGTTTACACAGAAAACACTTGGGGTACCTACTCACTCATCTCCCCAACACAATCTTTTGCCATTTTCTAACGATTAAAAGTCTACCAGGGAAGGAATGTGGGTATGTTTGATGCATGTATCCCATGCATTCAGAGCAGTACTGATGTAGAATACAAATAACAGGAACTGTTAGGCCCATAAAGTTCATGCATTTTTCTGCTTTGTAGGCCCTTCAACTTTAGTGTAAGAACTTGAACATGGGTAGGATTAAAGAAAATCACTGAAAACAACAGTTCAAAGTAAGAAACACACAACAGTTTAAAGTGGGAAGGTTTATTAAAGTTTTACTTTCTGGGAACAGCCAATCACTTGCATAAGCAATTAGCAGTTGGGCCTAGAACTATACTTGTCTGCTTCTTAACAAGCCCAAAGCACTTGCAACTTCTAAGTTTCTCTCGAAGGCTGTTAATGCCTGGAAAACAGAATCCATGTTGCCTTCCCCCCAAAAGAAGTAGGCATCCAGTTCAAAGCCTCTAGCTGTTCTTAAAGAAACATTTAAACATGAGAGAGTTAAAAGGACTAAACAGTCAATGAATCCATGATGAAACTACAGGAAGAGAAACCCAAGATGAACCTAACAGCTGCCCTGCATTTGCGAGAGTATTTGTGTTTATATTCTAAGCAGCTCATAGCTGGGCCGTCAAGACCTCTCAATGCTCACATTCATTGACTTCTCACAAGACAGGCTCCCTGCAGACCCTAGATGAACATGCAGACTAACATGTCCTTTGATGTTTGGTGTGGACTCAGTGGGTCTACACTACTATATATTTAGCACCTTAAATAAGCACAAAACTCAAATAAAAGTATATTTTGAAAACTATTTTTCTTCTCCAATCATGAGACGATTCCTTCATATGCTGGTTTCAACACAAAATTTATAAGAGCATATTTTGTTTTCTAGCATCCTGTGAGTAATGGTCCGGGAGAAAAACATAACACTAATTAATTCTCTTTCTGCCCCTTAGTTCCTAGACCAAAACTCAGATATATGACTGGCAAATATTTGTTGACCTGTGAGGGCACACAGGGAAGCTATTTTAAAGTGGTCAGGCCTGAGGCACACAGACTATTTTATTACCATTCATACGAGGAGAAAAATGATGCCAAGTCACTTATTTCAATGAAGTGAATATCAAAATAACAGCATTTTCTCTATGTAATTAATATTACCAAGTACATTACAATGTCAAAGAAGGGAACTGTCCTATTGAGGAGTAAAATGTGGCCTCTGATGACAGCAGAGTTCAGGGCTGTGGTGGGACAGCAGTTACATGCCAATAGTCACTGTTTCTCCAAACATTAAAAAAACCTCAAGCGGCCACTGTTCACTAAGTTAATGGTATCCCTACCCCTTTCCCCCACATTTTGTGTACCCTTCTCTCTTGAGGGAGAGCTTCCATGCCTCTTTGTAAGGAATTTCTTTGTAGGAAATACTTTTGATACAATGCTGGTAGAAAGAAGCATCATCTGATACTGAAGCTCCCCCTAGTGGAGGGTAAGATGATATTCTAATATTTACTGTTAATTCCAAAACTATATTGAAGGCATCAAGTCATTAAAGTTGCTTGTGGTCTAGTTGGGGAAAAATAAAAACAACCAATTATAGCATCAAGCTTCCTTTAAATGAATGAATGTTTTCCACACACCTAAAGCTATTATATCTGAAACAGCCACAAACACTACTATGGAGTTCATTCATGGATATGTGTCATGATATTCAAATTAATACCTAGAGACTCTCGTTTTCATGGCTACAAAAATATATCTTGTCATTGGGGCACCCCTTCCAAGGTCAAGGAGTTCCACAAAAACACACTATAAAAAGGCAACTCTTTCTCTTAACACGACACCTTTTTGACTTGCTCAGCAAGCACAGACTTCCCTTAGATAACACTGCATTCCTGACTCCGTTGGTGCGGCCTTGAATACCCGATTGCCGAAAAAGGGCATTTTTCTTGAATTTACCTTTAACCCAAGTGGCAATCGTCAGAGGTGACAAAGGAAGCTGATAAAAAAAAAATCAGTTCATGCTACTGGTAAGACTTCAATTTAATGTAACAAATACCTACAGAATCCATTTGACATAGGACTGAGACATTTTGCTGGTTTGTGAGGTCTATCTGTCCATGATTTTAAGTCCAAAGAAATGTGTGACAAGTATTTCAAAGCATAATTACTTCAAAGGTCCTTAAAATATGGTATGCCTCTCTAACTGGGCACACAGTGACATGTTTCTGTAGTCCTAGTTACTTGATATGCTGAGGCAGGAGGATCATCTGAACTTGGAAGCCAGCACAGGTAGCACAGTAAGACCCCATTTAAAAAACAAACACAAAGAGACAATCAAGCAAAGAGTCCAGTTTTTCTCACTGGGACAAACTGCCCTATCCTTCCACTTGCATGTTAGTTTAGTTTAAGGTTTTACCCCTCAGTCACAGACGTGCATAACTGCATCAGAGAAGGGAAGTGTTAAGTAGCTAAGTTTATTAGAATATCAAAAGAATACAATTTCCAATTGTTCAAACAGTATTTTTTGACATTTCTTCAGGTTGGTCAGAGCTTACATTTGAAAGCTGACTTAGTTTACTGAAGGGCTGGACACATACCTGGCAATCTCAGCAAGGCATGAACACCTCTTCACAACTAGCTGCAATGAGACCGTATCTAGATCCCTGAGCAAAGATTGACTTTCTAGGACTGGTCTCGTTGATTTTCGGGGACAAGGCACAGGGTTTCCTAAGCTTGCAATCTGCTTTCTTCTCCAGTACGCACCCGGCCAACAAGCCATTTGGTTTCCCTTTCTCCATGGAGAACACACAACAGTTATCACCCTGGGTCCACGTCCTACAAAAGCCCCATCTTTATAAAATGAAAGTGAGAATGAAAAGAAAAGCACCTAAATACAGCTGGCTAAAACTGTGATGTAGCTCTCTTCATATCACTCCTGCTAACTGATCATATAGTCAAGTCACACATCCCTTTTTGTGTTCTGAGTTGCAACCATTTCCTTCATGTTCTTTGATCTATCAGAAAGCAAGTTGGAAAATTTTCACATAACACTTCATTGGTGAACTCACTCACACCAACAAATTAACAATGGCAAGGGTTCCCTGGATGAAATTACAAGCTGTGCAGGATTTGCAATAGTCAAAGTCAAACCCTGATACAGTATTAAACTTATCTTTTTACATATAAAAATAATACAGAGTGGGATATTTTATTCAATAAGATACAATCTTTAAAGTCGAGAGAATTTACAAAACTATTCTATGTCACCTGGTGTATTTTACTGTATAGTAGGAATAAATATATCTAGAGCAGGAAGTGCGAGGTCTGTTCCTAGAGAAATCACCGATTAGTGTAGTTTAAAGCCAAGGGTTCTGCTGAATCCAGGCAGAAAGGAGCTACTGTTGCATTTTAAACAATGTGGTCATTATAAAATAAAGGACAAATCTATAAACAATAACAAAAAGACACAAACCAAATGAAAATGTACTAAAATTTAATCATCCATAAAAGCTGTAATTTAATCTGACAGTAAAACACAAGAAGCAATATTAGAGTTGGTTTAGTATATTATATATTTTAGCTTTGAAAGCCATAGAAATCAGTTATCCCAGTTTTTTTCCTATAAAAGACCCATTTTTCCAAAGCATTATGCACAAACAATTTTAATTAGAATATGACAGATGATATTTCATAATTTTTAAATATAAAATGAAGTCAATGACTCAAAAAAGTTATCTGCTGCAATGAGTTTGAGGGGGTATTTCATAATCTATATCATTACAGATATAAAGTATGATGGTTCAACTTTTTAGTGCTTGATAGGGAGGAGTCATGATAAAAAGGTCAATATGAAATCATTTGATTATAGTAGTAACATCTAACATTTGAAATGCATCCATGCTCTTCTGTATAACTGCATTAGAGTCAAGTATCTTATTTCACATCTGTTATAACTGCTATTGCAAAGGAGAAATACTATGTCTTATTTCCAGGAGATATACACAGAGCAACTTTTTCTCCAGGGAACTTGTGCAAACCAATATAAGATCTAAATTCTTCACATAATATATAAAACAGGAGAAGCCTCTTCAGATTTAGTTTTTGAAGTCTGGAATGCTGGCACTTTCCAATTAGGCAACAGTTCTTCATTTCTGTAATCTGGAACATTGAACAGATACACACACATAGAGTTCTCTCACCGTCAGAAGGTGGCAGTCAATAAACATATCTAATAACACACAAAGGATGACAGCTACTGATCATTACTAAGGAACTAAATTATACCAAAATTCAGTAGAAGAGCTATTTTACCTTCCCATTAAACATGTTCAAAAATAAGCCAAGTGTGGCAGCATGAGGATCAGGAGTCCCAAGTACGACCTGATTACAGTTTGGAGTACTTGAGACTATCTCAAAAGTTCAAAATCAAATATAGAAGACAGAGTTCACAAACAGCTATTAGTAATCAATTTTTGTTTGTCCCTGGTTTTACTACACTTGGTATTTCACATCTTATCAAATACCCTGCCTATAAAAAGGCAGACAGCAATATTTCATTTGTATCCCATTATCTTTCTTTTAAGTTCAATATTTGTCTAAACTCTGCGGGAAATTCTATATTCAGCCATTTTCTGGTTCTCTATTAGGTATTATCATTTCTAACACAGCTGACAAGAGACAAGGCAGAAAGAACCCAGACTCAAAGGCAGAAGAATTAGCAGGTCCTACTACTCAATAGAAGCTAATTAGTTTAGAAGGTGAACTCCGGATGATTTCTCTAAGATCTTTAAAATTGGAATACTTAAGAGATTTACATGTTTTAATACAATTCTTAAAGGCTATAGACATATAAGCTGCCCCCAAGGTTCAGCTACTCTTACTAAAACACTGTAATTGTTATTTAAATCTACCCTGTTATCTTAGAACTTAACAGCTCTAGTCTTTATTACGTTGGCCAGGAAGGCCTCAAACTCTTGGGCTCAAGCAATCCTTCTGCCTTAGTCTGAATAGCTGGGACTACAGGCATGTGCTACCACACTAAGCTTTAGCACTTCAGAAAATACAGGTGTAATATGGCATTGCAAATCACAATAAACACACTGTAAGGCATTCTGATCAAGGCCTCTATCATTGTACACCTACAAGATCTCAGGAGACTACATTTTAAATTGAATTATGTACAAGTCTAAGGATAAATACAAGCAATATGAATGGCTTATTGCCAGACGTAGGCAAGCTTTCTCTTGTAAACTGTATGAATACATTTTAAAATCATAATAGGTCAAGTGGTACCTTTTTCTTTAAGCTAAAGGAACATTTTCTGAGAATGCAAAGTTAAAACTCAGATTTGCCAAGGCAATGGTGTCAATAAGTCATTCATCTATAAAAGAGTTAACAACACATGACCAACTTGGGTCCTCATGTTTCTGTCTTTGTATCTTTTCTTAAACACAAACAAATACCAACAATAATAACTGTCAGGAAACTGATGATTTAAAGTGTTTTAATCAATCAGTTTCAGGAAAAGTTACTTAGCTCTTCAGAAAAAGAAACCATTTGGCTGACCTTCCAAGTTTGACCACCTAAGACAATCTATGCTTTCCCTCCTTTCTATTTGTTCACTATAAAGGGTTGAAGTTACTCAATTCTTTTCTCTAAGAGAGATACTTACTCATCCCTATCTCTAAGGAGCACAGATTAACTCATCAGGAGCTCAGAAAGCAGTAATCTACTAAACGGGCTCCAGAGATTGACAGTAGTTAGTGTCGTCAACTCTCAAGTGAGCAGAGTTTATGTTCCTCCTCTAACTCCATCAGTTTATTCATATTCACATAATTAGCCTCAGACTACACCATACATCTGCTTCAGGAAAGCATTCTGTTCGGCTTAATAGCTGACAAAGAAGAAACACCAGGGGATTTTAAATGTAATTAAAGGAAAACAACTAACTGCTTCACAGGGCCTGGTTTCTTACCTGACTGGCAGTGCAAATGCCGCTATGTATTTCTTTCCAGTGGGTCCACTGAATGAAAGCAGAATGTTACCTGAAGTCAACTACCACCTGATGCAGACTGGTGTGACATTTGTTAGAGCACCCTCTCTTGAGAAGAGCTGACAAGCAGAACTACATATGTATGCTACCATACATCACACAGAATGGCTCAGGTTTAAGAAGTCTGAAAATACCAATACTGGGGAGGATATGGAACTCATGAATTGCTGGTGCATGTACCCTGGTACAATCACTGTAAAAATCCACATATATAGCATATGAGCTAGCCAGTATATTTCTAGACATGTGTATGTGCATAAGTCATGAACAGAATTGCAAACTATCCATATATTTTGTTTGTTTTAAGCCAGGGTCTCAAGCAGCTCTAGCTGTTCTGACTTTGCTATGTAAGGGAAGCTGGCTTTGAACTTCTAATCTTCCTGCCCCGTTCTTTTTCTGGGATAATAGGTGTGGGCTGCCAGGCTGGGATCAGTATTATCCATCTTAATTTCCCAAAAGTTCCTCAATAGCAGAATACCCATTAGTCAAATAATAAATTAAGTATTGTCATATAATAAAAATTAACTACTGACACATGTAATATGGATACTTCTAAAAACACAACTCTAGCCTGGTGGTGGTGGCACATGCCTTTAATCCCAGCACTAGGAAGACAGAGACAGGAAGATCTCTGAGAGTTCAATGCCAACTTGGTCTACAAAGTGAGTTCCAGGACAGTCTCCAAAACTTCAGAGAAACCCTGTCTCAAAAAAACAAAAAACCAAAACCAAACCAAACAAACAAACAAACAAACAAAAACAACAACAAAAAAAAAACCCCAAAACCAACCAAACAAAAAAACCCCCATAGTTCTGGGTGACAGATGGCAGATACAACACACCATATATTTTTGCTAATGCTAAGCTCAAAGAGGAGCAAACAGAAATGCTAACACTGGGTAAGTGCTCTACCCAGCCTCTAGCACTATTTCTCAAATACCCACTAGTTAGCAGGTGTTGACAACATGGTGGTGAGCAAATCACACATGTTCCTCTTAGAGTTTAGACATTCCTGGGGAGGAGGCAAATTATCCAACAGATACAGGTGTCTGTCACATGTATAAGCAATAGAAGTTCAGAAACACCGAGAGTCAGTAAAATGGTTGGAGTTGGGAGAAATGAGGAAGGGTTTACTCTGCTTAAGCAACTTACCTGGCTCAGAGCTGCTGCTGACTTCAAGTCTAGAGCAGCAGACATGATTTCTTTTTAGGCTTCTTCTTTTCCACTGGTGTTTTTCTATTTATCTGTCTGACCAGGTCATAAAATATCTAGGTAAAAACAACAATAAAACGTACTGATTGCTTGCTTCACAAAAGCATTTTCAAAGTACTAAGTATTAATTACTTTTCCATTGAATCTGAACCTTACTGCTTTCTTTTGAAGTTTCTTAGCTCCCCAAGCTAACCTCAGAGTAAAGCAGGCCCTACCTATCCATAATGGGTATATAGTTGCTTAGACAGCCAGTAGTCAAACAAACAAACAAACAAAACCAAAAAATTAGAAGAGAAAGGTAGCAAACACTTAAAAGCTATAATTATAACAACAGCACCAGAGAGCTTCTGTACATTCTTCCTATATCCGAGTAGTAATTATGAGCCATATGATAGTGGCATATATCCTTAAAGGGCTAAGCATGTATCTCCCAGAACAATATACTCTTTTGTTTTGTTTTTCAAGACAGGGTTTTTGTGTGTAGCCCTGGCTGTCTTGGAATTCACGCTGTAGACTAGACTGGCTTCAAACTCTCAGAGATTCACCTGCCTCTGCCTCCTAAGTGCTGGAATCAAAGGTGTGAGCCACCTCACCCAGCAAGAGTACACTCTTATATAAACTTAGCATAATGTTACTCCTAACAAGACATTTAAACATCAATACCTTTTTTGGTAGTATCTTCAGTGTAAATTCCAATTTTGTCAATTATCTCAATGAGGCCTTAAAAAGTTACTTTCCTCTTGGGCAGAAATCTACCAGGAGCCACACTGTATTTTGTTTCTTGATAATGTAGCACTTGTCTGTCTGCCAGTTATTATTTCCTTACTGTTTGAGATGAGGTTCATTTCAAGCCCATGTTGGCTTCAAACTCACTGATTAGTCGAGGATGGCTTTAAAATCCTGATCCTTCTGCCTCCATCTCCCAAGTGCTGGGGTTATAGACAATACTACCTCAAGAACTGCTTTCAGTCTTTTAAAATTGGGAACAGTTTTCCAGGGTTTTGTTATTTCTGAAAAAGTTTAATAAATGTATAGAATTTCCCTTAATTTGCATTTGATGACGACAATGTACATTTTAGGCTGGGACAGGAAAAAGCATGTCTCTCTTCAGAAAACACAAGATCAGGTACATGATATGTCCACCCCTTATGGATTTGTATTTTAAAGTAGTGCCTCACTATTCAGCCCTGGATAGCCTGAAACTCACTTTGTAGACCAGGCTGGCCCTGAACTCAAGAGGTTCATTTACCTCTACCTCCTGAGTGCTGGGATTAAAAGTGTGCACCTCCACAGTCAAAGCAAACAAGACAACAACGTAACAGACAGGAAAAGTCCACTAATCCTTGATTTGAAGGCACAAAGAGTATAGTAATAATCTTGGAGATTCATCTTTGGAAGAGTAAAAATTCATCAAGGACAAAAACACAATACTTCTTATTTCATAAAAGTGGGTTATTAACTCTGGCATGCATTGAGATGTTACCAATCCATCCCTATTGTGTTCCTTAAAGGCAACTCTGCAAGAGTTATTCAGATGATGGTGGTGAGGGCCTTCATTTTCATCTCAGGCCATTAGTGAGTGCTGTGGGACAATCGTCGTTTATCCTGTCACTTGTATTATTTTTTAATAAAATGTTGATTGGCCAGTAGCCAGGCAGGAAGTATAGGTGGGATGACCAGACAGGAAGTAGAGGCGAGGCAATGAGAATGCTAGGAAGAGGAAAGCGCAGCCCACAGTCTGATCCAGCTGCAGAGGAAGCAAGATGTGACTGCTTTGTCAAAAAAGGTACTAAGCCACATGGCTAACATATACAAGAATTATGGGCTAATATAACTTATAAGAATTAGTTAAGAAGAAGAGCCTGAGATACTGGGTCAATCAGTTTATAATTAATGTTGACCTCTGTGTGATTTCTTTGGGACTTAACGATTGTAGGAACTGGGCAGGACAGAAACCTCAGTCAACAAGTGAGTGTCTGCATTATTATAGCAAAAACCAGACTCAGCTGACACATCTTTAACACATTGGCATAATTAACATAATGAAACTACAAATAAACAAAACAGTGTGGAAGGCAAGTTTCCTGACTTTACTTTTATTTTGCAGTGTTGGGAACTGAACTCAGGCCTTGCTCATGCAGGCAAATGCTCTATAGCTGAGTTTTGCTTTAGCTGCATGATTTTAATAGTATGGTTTTGTTCAAGAATGTCCTTAAAATTTTTTTAGAGATTTTTTTATTTCATATTTATGTATCTGTGTGGATATCTGAGGGGTCCAGAAGTGTTAAATCAACTGCAGCTGGACTTAAAGGAGGTTGTGAGCCATGGGTGCTGAACCTGAACTCATGGTCTTTCATAGAGTCCTATGAGCTCTTAACCACAAAGCAACCTCTACAGCCTGAGAATGCCTTTGATCCAAGGAAACACACACTAAAATACATTAGAGTACAGCAAAGTGATTTCTATAAATATATGGCAAAATGTTAATAACTAGTGAATTTAAATGAAGAATAAACAGACTATTTTTTTGTTCTTAGATTAAGTAAAGTTCAAAAGCAAGAGATTTTAACATCAGTGACTTATATTTATTTCCTTTGCTGTAGTGGGAAATTAAACCCAGGGCCTCTGTATGTTAGGCAAGTCCTCCACCACTGAGCAATAGTCTAGCCTGTGTATTTTTTAAAAAAGATGACATGCTACATTTCTTTAAGATGATAATCACGTTACTTTTTCAAATGACTCAGAGATTACAAGACTAAGCTGTTGAAAAGAAAAAAAAAGATTCATTACAAAGCTATAAATAAATATATTATTTTCTGTTTGTCCTAGCCATCTAAATCCCATTTCCTAAAAATACTCTACTCTCTATAATCTTATTTCTAAGAGAAGGTTAAAACTACAGCATTTATAAGCAAAATGGTAGCTATTCCACAACTCTGAAGCCTTTAAGAACTTAATGTATATGAGTCAGGAAAAAGTTCTCATTAGTACACAAGGCTTAACATGCAAGCTATGATACAAAATAACAAAAAGATAAACTCAAACAGGAAATTAATGAAACACATACGCAGTTCCTATTTCAGTCTCTTCATACCAGTCAGTGTCCAGTTTCTGGCACACAGTATAGAGACAGGTAACTGACTGACTGTAGTATTATTCTAAATTATTTCTTTGGAAAATATTGCCTACCTCACAGCAGCAGAAGGTTCAATGATGAGGGCAAGTTCGAACTATAATATTTGGTTAGAAATGCTGAAAGTCCCCAGCCTAGGTTCTTCCTCATCTCTCTGAACTATAGAAAAATCTAGAGGGAACACAGAATAGAGTTTCTCAACCCCTCTCCCATTCCTAATTGGGATGTTTTTATTCCAATCATTACTCCAGCCTCAGCATCAAAAAAAAAAAAAAAGGTTAAGAAAGAAAAAAGAAATTTGGAGCTAAGATTGAGTTAATCCCAGTGCATCATTTGCTACTTGCAGAATATAGAGAATTAGAGGGTTCTGGCGAAGCACAGTATTCTTGTCTGTTTGCAAATTTAAAGTCAAGAGCTGAATCTTGTGCAATTATTATTCCTCTATTTTCATGCATTCAGAAACTACACAAGCATTTACAAAGCAGCATAAACTGTCTGAACAACTGTGAACTATCCAAGGAATTCTGCAGCTGAATTTTTAGGCTATGAAGAGTAAAATCTTTAAAAAAAATGAAACACTTCAAATTATATGCTCTTGCCTAGCATGCAGCCTGTGTGGTCTTACTATAAAATGACTATGACATTTTACATTGTTTTCTAAACCCCTATGTGAACTTTAGCAAGACTGCTGTGAAAAAGTCAACTCTGCTGCATTAGAAACTGCAATCAAGGGAGTTCTAATAGCCTGTGTAGGTGTCCATAATCATGTAATGATTAAAGAGGAAGACTACCTACTTCCTCCCTACTAAACTCTGGTTCCTACAGGAAGAGGTCTTGTGGGGTGGACTCTGGTCCAATTCAGCCGCAGCACACTTGATGAACTTCATAGATGGGACAGCAGTGAGGGTGACGGAGACAGCAAGGAACGAGATTCAAAAGACCAGCCACATTACAGAAGGTGACATTGTACCACAAGTCTACTATTCAAGGGCACTCACCAACTGTAATGTATTCTTCATTAAAATATTATTTGTTCATTTTAGTTAGGGTCTTGTAATAGATAGTCCAGGCTGTTCTAGAACTCATTCTCCTGCCTTGGCCTCTAGTGCGCTGGGATCACAAGTGTATGCCACCATACGTGGGCTCCCTTTCTTGCTCCCTTATTCTTTCAAATAATACTATACTAAACAATAAATTTTTATTAGAGCTACATTTTAAAAAACAACCTCTAGGAAATTCTAATTCCACAACAAAGGAAGATGAACGGATGGCTGCTGGCTATCACTTTCTTCTCATTCGCCTAGCAGTGAATGACAAACAACTGTCACGGAAGTGCACAGCAGGACTCGTTCCCCAGCTAGGACATAAACTTCCTAAGGGTAGAAAGAGTTCTGCCTGGATTACTGCCACCTGGGTACAGAATAAAGTACCAGGCATACAACAGGTACTCAATATGTTTGCCAGAGAAATGGAATTAACAGATTTTATTCGCTAAAAGTGGTTTCACCTAAAAAAAAAAAAAAAAAGCTTTAGCATTCTCTATTATTTGTAAGAAACAGAATCTGTAGGAAGTTAGTTTTCTCCTTGCCAGATGTTTAAAATAATTTAGTCATCTTAAAAGTCCAATAATAGTCTACATAGTCATGAAAAATGACTTACAGATTAGAGGCCAGAGAGGAACAGTGAGAGAAATCCCAGCCATGATGACCTAACCCACTCATTCTCACCTTTGTCTAGTTACCTAAGATGCTTCCCTGGGCCAGAGAAGGGCAAGAGCCTTACTCTGCCTCTCTGCTCTCATTTCTTTCCTTTTTCAAAGACTTTTGGCAAAATTCCAAAAGCAAAAGGAATGTCATGGGTTTACCTGATTGGTGGTAGCAATTTGGGAACTGCACTAAAATTTTAGGGGCCCAGTCAACTATGGCTCTTTAAAATGAGGCACATATAGCCTATCTGAAAAGCCTTCTGTCCAACAGTTAATATCTTAAGATAGTGGGTGGAGTGCTTAAATCAGCTGTGTGCATCTGGACTATCAGCCTAAAAGGACTGATTGGTTTGAATTACATGTCTATTTATACACAGACCCCACGATTTTAGGCATGCATCAAAAGTGAAACAATAATAAAATAGAATTCTATGATAGTATTATATATAACAAAAGACCATAGTAGCAACCTTAATTTTTTTGTCCTTTCCTATTGGACTCTACCACCTATGTGTTATATTTAACTGGATAACTAATTATTAGAGAGATAATTACGTTTTCTTAAAAATTCTGGCTGTGGAAAATAAAAAGGGACTTGTTTGGATTGTCCAGTAGTTGTAGGTTACCTCATTAACGTTGATCTTTGACTTTGCAGAAGATTCTAAAAAGGCACAGTTACACCACTGTCTTGCTAAATTCTGGCCTTGTTCTTTGCCAACTACCCGCTCATCTTCAAGGTCACATTTATTGCCAACCAAAATCATTGGAACCTGCAGGAAGGAAAAAGCAAATGAATCACATACTCGTTACTTATCCTCTTCTGACAAATAAACAATTACCGGCTAACAATGGAAACATACCAGTCTACAGCTGTATGCTCTACCAAGTGCTTTAAAAAGGGTGCTGTGTGTTGTGGTTGTTTGGAAGAAGAAATGGAGGTGGGCAAGGGAAGGAGGGAGGAAGGTCAAAATAGGAAGAACTCCTACTAGATTCATATACCAAATTATTTTAAAGGAAATGATCCCATTTTTTAATTTCAATTTTTTGTAGGAATGTTGTGAACAATACTCATGTATGGTACCTAGGGAGGCCAAAAGAGCTACAGATGGTTGTAAGCTGCCATGTGGAGGCTGAGGATTGAACCCTGGTTCTCTGGAAAAGTGCCAAGTACTTTAATCACTGAGCCATCTCTCCATCCCTTAATGATTCTAAAATTCTTATGTGGATTACTACAAAGAGCTGAATTTCAAGTAGAAAATTCTGAAGGAAAAGGAATTCCCTATAATACATGAAACACTATACTCATTTACCCTAAGTGGTTTAAATGTTTCATCTCATAGGTCTAATAAATGTCAAAAATAATGACATTATTAGCAGCTTCTGTATCTAATTATTAGCTTTTTTCTGTCTAATACTAGATTTAAAGACTATAAGTGAAACAGTAAGGAGGATTAAGAATAAAAATAGGAGCTGGAGAGATGGCTCAGTGGTCAAGAGCACCTGCTGCTCTTTCAGAGGCCCCAACACTCATGTCAGGTAGCTCACAAACACCTGAAACTCCAGCTCTAGGGAATCAATATCCTCTTCTAGCCTCAACACATGGAATACACAGATACATAGACATTAAAAAAGTCACTAAGCAGCTGTGTCTTCCCTTTTACTCTACACCACAGATGCTTGACTATCCTGAAACACAACATCCACTTTCACAGCTAACAAACTGTGTTAGGCTCCTCAGCTAAAAGTTCAGAGAACAAAGTCAGGAGGTTGTAAGACAACAGCACTACACAAAAGAAAGAATGTAAGAGACAAGGTGAACCTTCTACCCAAAACAGATTAAATAGACTAGGCATCTTCAACTCAAACTTTTGTCCTTTACTGATGGAATAAAGGGGATTAACATTACCGGAACTCACTAACTCACTAACTATTCATTAAGGACAGTCATGTGGTCATATGGCACAAGTTTCGCCTATCTACAACGTTATCAAGGTTAAGGTCCTGAGCAGATGAATACAGAACACACAAAACCAGAAAGGTGTAACTGAAAATTTCTATCCTATTTTATATAATTGAAAAGGAACTTTTCTATAACCTCAAATTGATGGAAACGTGTAAAATATATTTTATATTTTACAAAAGATAAGAAAAGGGTATACGCTACCAACAAATGTGGTGCATGTCTATAAACCCAGTACTGAGAAGGAGTGGGCCAGGCTGTCACGGGGCATGCCCTTAATCCCAGCACTCAGGAGGCAGAGGCAGACAGACCCCTGTGGGTTTGAAACTAGCCTGGTCTACAGAGTGAGTTCGAGGACAGCCAGGGCTATACAGAGACACCCCGTTTCTAAACCCCCCCCCCCCCCCCCGCACACACACAAGAAGATCTCCATCTTAGAAAGGTTAAGTGCCCAAAGCTAGCCTGGGCATGCGTGTGCACGCACACACGCGCGCGCACGCACACACACACACACACACACACACACACACACAGAGCAAGATAATGTGTTAAAACACCAAAGCAACCCAAAGAACACGCATGATAGACTATTAGAAAAAGGAACATTAATTATGGTTCTATGAACACTACTTCTCACATTTAAAGCTCAACTTAAGTCCCACTTCTTCCTTCTTCTGTGAAATTTTCTGACTCATCTTTCCTGTACTTTTTATCCACATGGCAATGCTCACTTTGCCATACATACCTCATATTCTATACATCTCAGCACATAATTTGTAGGTTAATTTTGAAAGTCAAAATTTAATTCAGAGCCTGTTTTTGGCATGTTAGACACCTTCCAAACATTATACTGATGGGAAAGCAGATACTTTTTCTTTGACTATGGAGAGATGGCAATATGTTTTAAAGAGAGAAAAATACTTACATCTTCTGTGTCTTTAACCCGTAAAATTTGTTCTCTCAAGTCCTGTAAGTCATTAAACGTAGACTGAGCTGTAATAGAATAAACTAGTGCAAACCCTTGGCCGTTCTTCATATACAAATCCCTCATTGCTGTGAATTGTTCCTGTAGTATAAAAAAGATCCAGTTATAAATATACATGCAGTTTTTTAATGGATGCTGGAATGATTTTAAACAGAATAAATCTCAAATAAGGACATACTTATTTTAAATTATTTATTGTCATAAGATTTCATACTAGTTTCTAGAAACTGAGATGAATGTTTGTGTTTGTTGACACAATTCCTTTAATATACAAACCTTAATTGATTTTGTTTGGAAGATTTATAATATGATCACCACTCAAGTAGAAACAATCCAAAATGCAGATCTGGTACTGAATTATAAACATCCAACTATCTTTCTATTGATGTTTTATCATCTTGACAATCATTACCAACCCTAGGTTAGACTCTTTTTTTTTTTTTTTTTTTGATTTTTCGAGACAGGGTTTCTCTGTAGTTTTTGGTGCCTGTCCTGGAACTAGCTCTTGTAGACCAGGCTGGCCTCGAACTCACAGGGATTCACCTGCCTCTGCCTCCCGAGTGCTGGGATTAAAGGCGTGCGCCACCACCGCCCGGCTCCTAGGTTAGACTCTTGAAAAGAACTTTTTCATATATATTTTTTTATTTCCCTGCTTGCTGCATTTCAAATTCTTAGAAGAGATCTGAGGATAGTACAGTGACTATTTTCTTCAGACTCACTAGCCATTAACACTGGTCACACAGCTACAGTCTCACTAAATTAAAATGACTTCTGCTTGCTTAAAACCCACTTTCTTGTCTTTGGAGAATCATTATTATATTTTATAATTACAGATAATAATACAGAACAGAATCTTATCTTAAAAGTCCTTGGATTTTATATGCAGTGTTAAAGAAGTCACAAAAAGCAGAATATTAAAAACAAATTTTTTAACCGCTTTATCATTAAACATACAAATCCACAAAGCTTCTTGAACTTTTTGCTTCTTTGGCTTGCTGATTCCCATTGTCAAACTTCAATGTTTGTCTATTTTATCAAAGTATTTCTAGATGCTCTAGCATGTCCACTGCACTCGATTTGTACTCCAAGATGTCAGCTGTGCTAACCCTCACCCACATCCTTAACTTCAAGTTTAGTCTTTTGCGTATTTTTCTGGAATTTTCATTTACAAACTTAATTAGAAATTCGAACTCTAGCATTCCTTTCATGTTCTCTTGAGATTATTGCATATGCCACTTATTAATCAAGAGTAAATACTGTACTGCTGCAGTTACTGAGGATCCCAACCTTCCTCCTAAGGACAGTCTACAAGATTCATCTACTCAACAACTGTTTCTGCAGGAGATATGTTGGTCAATACAAGAGGCAAAATCTCTCAAGGAATATACAGGGAAATAAACAAAAATAAAGTATGAAGTAATGTTACAGAAAAAAACAAAGCTGAGCTGGGTGGTGGTGGCACACAGCTTTAATCCCAACACTCAGGAGGCAGAGGCAGGCGGACCTCTGCAAGTTCAAGGTCAGCCTGGTCTACAAGAGCTAGTTCCAGGACAGGCTCCAAAGCTACAGAGAAACCCTGTCTTGAAAAACCAAACCAAACCAAACCAAACCAAAAAAAACCCAAAAAAAGCTGAAAAAGAGGTTTCTCTTTTTGGGGGGAGGAAGTGGAGTAGAAGTTTACATTTTAGAGGGGAAGGTACTTAAAGGTAACAAGAGGGCAAGAAGGAAGAAGAGGTTAATGTATGCTCTTATAAGGAGTCTCAGGGAGAGATCAACAAATACACATGGCTCAGGGAGAAACATACAATGTTTGAGAAGCTGCAGAAACCAGTTAACTAGATTGCTAAGGAAGGTGAGACTACGGAGGGGAATACCTATTTTTTTTTTTTATTTCTTTGTTTTTTGAGACAAGTTTCTCTAGTCCTAGTTGTGCTGGAACTAGCTCTTGTAGACCAGGCTGGCCTTAAACTCAGAGATTCGCCTGTCTCTGCCTCCCCAGTACTGGGATTAAAGGCCATCACGACAGCTCAGGAATACCTATTTTTTTTTAAAAATATTTATTTATTTATTACATATACAATATTCTGTCTGTGTGTATGCCTGCAGGCCAGAAGAGGGCACCAGACCCCATTACAGATGGTTGCGAGCCACCATGTGGTTGCTGGGGATTGAACTCAGGACCTTTGGAAGAGCAGGCAATGTTCTTAACCTCTGAGCCATCTCTCCAGCCTCAGGAATACCTATCTTAACTAAAATTCTGAACTTAAATATCCTTCCTCTCAAGCAAATCAACCAGTCTGTCTGTCTGCCTGCCTACCTACCTACCTATTGTACATTGGCGTTTTGCCTGCATTTATGCCAGTGTGAAGGTGTTGGATCTTCTGGAACTGGAGTTACAGAGACAGTTGTGAGTTGCCATATGAGTGCTGGTCATTGAACCTGGGTCCTCTGTAAGAGCAGTTAGTGCTGTTAACCACTGAGCCATCTCTCCAGCCCTTAAATACCATATATGTATATGTATGCATACACACACACACACACATATATTACAACATACCTTACTTCAATATAAAAAGACTGCTCCCTCCCCTCAAAAACTTCATTCTGCAGGTGAACTTCTGGTGTGGGAGAATTGTCTATATTCTGTCAATCATATTTTAATAAAACGCTGATTGGCCAGCCAGGCAGTATAGGCGGGAAAGCCAGACAGGAAGTAGGGGTGGAGCAAAGAGAACAGGAGTACTCTGGGAAGAAGGAAGCTCCCTCCGCAGTTCTGCCCAGACCACAGGAGAGGAAAGATGTAAGCTGCCCAGCTGAAAAAGGTACTGAGCCGTGTGGCTAACATAGATAAGGATAATGGGGTAACATAAGTTATAAGAGCTAATAAGTAGCCTGACCTAATGGGTCAATCAGTTTATAATCTTATGGAGTCCTGTGTGTGATTTTCCTTGGGAGTTGCTGGCTGTGGGGTACTGGGCGGGACAGATACCCCAACAAGCTGGCCTTCATGCTACAAACTTCAAATACAATTCAATTATAATATGTGAGCATCAATCACATCACAAAACAATCTTATATATCCAAGAAAATTTATGAAACCTTACATTTAGAGAATTAAAAAAAATCAGAATAATCACTTTACACAGAGAATTATTTAGACAGCAAAACCTGCTCACACACTAAAACTAGTTACATGAAAAGGAAAGAATCCTTACTGTTCCTGCAGTATCCAGGATTTCCAGCATACATTGTTGGCAATCTACTTCAACTTGCTGTGGGGGAGCAAAGGAGAAAAAAAAAAAAAACAAAGAAGTAACATCAACATGTTTTCTCTTTTACCTCTTCAAAATGCTTATTAACAACTACCAAGTGTTCTACTTAGTACCACAATAAAGAACAGGGAGGGTCTCCGAGCACACCAGCAACACTCCAAAGGCAGGGTGGTTAAAGTTGAGCGTGGGTATTTTCTGACTGCTATAACGATGCTCATTTGTTCTTATTGGAAGGCAAAAAAAAAAAAAAAGGCCAGGTTTTGTAGTTCAAGAAAAATGGTACGTACAGTTCTAACAGAAAAAAATTCTAACCAACAAATGAAAATGATGGCATATATATGATACATGGTTGTGACAGATTTATATATGAGATCTATATATGACTGTCATGGAAAGCTAAGAATTAAAATATAAATATACTAATTCCATTTCTCCAATCTTCTAAAAGAAGACTGGCCTAAAGAGTATCAATTAGCAACTCTGTGAAAAATTATTATAGAAGGGACTAAGAAAATAAGTTCTTCAGCATGCTGGGGACAGATCTTGCTTAAAGACTTAACTAGCAATTTATTTGGGAGAAACTTGAGAAGAGCAGCAACACTGTCTCCTACAAATAAAAACATCACCCTACAAGCTCTTCTGAGCCTTGCCACCCTGCCAGAGTGATGAGGAGGAATGCCTCTGGTGGGGCCACAAATTCATGACCCCACTCCAGGTGGGGCAAACAGGTAAGAGGAAAATCTGTACCAGAGCCTTCAGAAGATATGGAACCATGCCTGTAGTTTCAGAAGAAACTAGAGCATGGCTGTGTTAATTTGGAAGAGAATGAAATCACTCGGCTAATATTTCCTAAAAACCTTAATTCAACAAACGTTATAGTACTATGAAAGACAGATTCTAAAAACAGATATTTAACAGAGCAATGTTTGTCTCTCTGCTGAAACAAAAGGATTAGTCTTTGGAGCAAGAGCTTTGGCTCTTTTATGGTATTCTGCCATATGACCCACACCTGGTTATGTGGAAAATGAAATCATGAAAGTTTCTCGTGGTTCTATCTAGTCTTAGAATCTATTTTTGTCAAGATCAACTATTTTGCTTCTTTTAAAAAATAGATTACTCTTTCCTTTTCTTTTTCTTTTTTTAAAGATAGGGTCTTTGTAGACTAGTTTGGCCTTGAACTTGCAGAGATCTCCCTGCCTCTGTTTACTGGGTGCTGGGATTAAATGTGTATACACCATGCCTGGCCAACTTCACTTCTTTAGGAGAAATTTGGGGTTCACCACAAAATTAAGGGAAAAGAGAGACCCTCATTATTTGTGCCTGTATCATGTACAGCTGCCTTCTCTCTCTTATCCATAGGCTGCAGCAAAGTGAAAATTTGGCAAAACCAATGAAGCTACAATGCCACACTGTTACCTGCAAAGGCCCACAGTCTGCATTATATTCCCTTCCCATACATACTCCACAGATTCTGGAAACAGGACAGCTACTCCCACTGTGCTATTGCACATCGAATGAACTATTAGCCAGGCATGGTGACTCACACCTTTAACCCCAGCACTTAGGAGGCAGAGGTAGGTGGACTTCTGTGAGTTCCAGGTTAGTCTGTTCTACAGAGTGAGTTCCAGGACAGCAAGGGCTACATAGAGAAACCCTACCTTGAGAAACAAAAACAAAAAAGAAAAGAAAAGAAAGAAAGAGAAAGGAAGGAAGGAGGGAGGGAGGGAGGGAGAAAAGGAAGAAGGGAGGGAGAAAAGAAGGAAGGAGAAAGGAAGAAGAAAGAAAGGAGAGAGGAAGGGAGGAAGGGAAGAAAGGAGGGAGGGAGGGAGGAAGGAAGGATTATTAAGCAGCAGCAGTAGCAGCAGCAGATAAAATATTCTCCTAAGCATATTCAGTGAGGAATGCTTTATCCAGGTGAAACTTCTAAAAACAGACACAGCAGATTTGTCATTTCTCAAAATGTCTTTAAAGCAATACCATGCACCAAGTCTGAAAGCTGTGAGGACCACTCATAAGTGCACACACTGTTTCACATTTTACCTTTCTGTAGGAATCTTCTATCGTTGGGTCATATTTTTCAACAAAAATTCCCTGAACAAACTGAACTGTCTGGGAGGAGAAAACAAACAAACTAGAGTTAAAGACTTGAAAGGAAAATCAAATGTTCCTAAGTGTTACTTAATCTTACAAACTGTAAAGAATAAATGAAATTGTGTTGAAATTCTGAATAAACACAAATGCTAAGCATTAGTATTACTTTTCAATAAGAATGCATACAAAACTAAGAAGATATTTATTACAAAAAGAGATGGCCATGTCAAAAACTTATCAATACATCTGCTACATTGCTAAACAAGATTATATTACACCTTAACAAGATTCTAGTTCATTAAAAATGAAACTATCCAAATGTAACTTCTTGTCTAAAAAGAGACAAACAAAGGTTCTAAATGTTTATATCTTCTAAACTGTAAGGAAAAACAGGGAATTTAGTGTTATTGAACATGTTTGCTTCAATTTTAGACTGTAATCACACTTAAGTTATACTTTTACCCCAGAAATACTTTTTCGATTTGCCAGCTGAACTCACACTACATCATCTTTCTGATTCTTAAGCCTTACTCTTTCCAGTGGAAAACACTACCTAGTCACAGAAAACAGACTACTCTAAGATACACCAGAAAACATAACTAGGTAGTGTATATATCTGAATATGGTTTCAGGAATCAACTGAGGGTCTTGGGACAGACTGACAGGGAGAACACTGTGCTTTCATCTGCAGTATACTGAATTGACATGTCTGAACATATACTAAAAAGAACATTTATCAATTATTAATGGCGAGTATAGATGATAATTCTGAGAAGGTCCTCCCCTCCCCCGAGACAGGGTTTCTCTGTGTAACAGTCCTGGCAGTCCTGGAACTCTCTTTGTAGACCAGGTTGGCCATGAACTCACAGAGATTCACCTGCCTCTGTCTCCCAAGTGCTGGGATTAAAGGCATGCCCACCATCACTTGGCCTCTAGAAAGTTTTAAAGCAGGGTCTGGAATATTCTACCTATAAACAAAGGCAAATATGTAGACTAAGGTCATCTACACTTAAATTATTTAAAAGAACTTAAGCACATAATTACAGTAAAACTTTAGGTGTCCTACTCTATCACTCCCTGTCTTATCCCTCCTACACACACACACACATACACACACACACACACACACACACACACACACACACACACACACACACATACCACTGGGGTAACAGGTATGTACATGACCACACCCAGGTTTTTGTATGAGTGTTGGGGATTTACACTCAGGTCCTCATGCTCACACAGCAAGAGTTCTTACCCATTAAGCCATCTCCTTGGGTCCACAGTCCTTTAATCCTATTTTTAATCAAGGGTTTAATCACTTTTTTATTAAGACATAATTTAGATAGGAAAAAGTCTGATACAGCTTTCTAACAAATGTAGCCTAGAAGAGAGGTTCTCAAAATATGGCCTAGCAGGGCTTGAGAGATGGCTCAGCGGTTAAAGAGCATTGTCTGCTCTTCCAAAGGTCCTGAGTTCAATTCCCAGCAACCACATGGTGGTTCACAACCATCTGTAATGGGGTCTGGTGCCCTCTTCTGGCCTGCAGACATACACACAGACAAAATATTGTAGACATAATAAATAAATAAATATTTTTAAAAAAATATGGCCTAGCATATGAGGCCCAGTACTAAGGTGCGTGAGACCCCAGTACTAAGATGTACTTGTCCTCCACTACTACAAGTACTTAGATACAGATGGCATGAAAGCCCAAGCACTGTCCCTAAACTTGATGTTTCTGGTCCCTGCAAAGATCAACAACCACCTCACACTGACCACTTCTTTTTCAGAGTAACCTTTCACTATTCCTCTGAATCCTGTCCTCTCAATTCTCAAGGGTATTGCATTCATTCATATCAATTTTCATTTTATTCCTTTGGGTTTTCATACTGGATCTGCTCCCCCTTCTCCCTCCTATGTCATTATCTTCTTTTCCACTGGATCACTGCTTCCAAGATACAAACATGCTCTGCTACCTCCAATCACCAAACAAAACAGAAAACTCCTCTTAACCCCATATCCACTCTAGTTTCTCCTCCTTTCTCTGTTTGCTCTCATAGTCAGACTTTAACTGTCTACATGGTAATTCCATTTCCTCAGTTCTCAGTACTCAACCCTAGCCAGCATGGTTGTGGCAACATCACCAGACCAAATCTTCTTCTTTTATGATGGGCAAGCATCCCCATGCACCATTCCTTTCTCCCTTGACTTATGAGCAGTCAAGCAGACACATCTATGTCCTCAATCACAGTACAAGACACCTTCTTCAGCCCTGGGTATTTTAATCCTATCTATCCTCTAAGAGCTGATAACGATTCAGAACTCAGCCTTGGGTTTTCTCTCCTTATTCTCTCCCTGGACAGTCTTGTTTGTGCCTATAGCATTTAGTTGTTTTTTTTTTCTTATCCTATTACCATCCTTGTTTCCATCTACCCAATCTGTTTACATGTATTTGTTTTTTAAAAAGTCACTTCAACCATATATATATATATATATATATATATATATATATATATATATATATATATATGTTTATGTGTGTGTGAGCTCATGGAGGGCAGAAGAGGGCACAGGATTCTGTAGGGCTAGATTTACAAGTTATTGTGAGCCATTCAATATGGGTACTGATAACTGAACTCAAGTCCTCTTCGAGAACAGTATTTTCTCTTAAGCATTAAATCATTTCTCAAGCCCCAGTAACTATAGCTTTTTGAAAAATAAATGGTAGCCTAATTAGTAACTTTCTTCCCTATATATGATATATCTTAGATATCATAGGTCAGTACATACAAAGCTGTTTATGCTTTTGTATAGTAATCTACTCTGAATACATATTAAGAGTTACTTAACTAGCTGATAGGCAGTTCAAATTTCTTATCATTATTTCAAATGTTGCAATAGATACTTTTGATGTGATCATTTTGCACACTGTGATAAAATGTCCAGAAAGAAATTGCTGAACTGAAAATTATATGTAAAACCAGGTGTTATGGTATATGTTTGTAATTCTAGCACTTGGGGAACTGAGGCAGGAGGATTACCAAGTTCAAGTCTAGCCCATTAGAGCTGTTCTACTTTCCCCTGTCAAATTACATGCATTTGAATAATCATTTCCACTGAGGTGTTAATTTGTACTCCTAACAGGCTAACAGTAATTGAATTCTCATTACTGGCTATTAAAATCCTATCACTCTTAAAGATTCATTTGTGTATTTGATGTATTTTACTTGAGTAGCTTGAGTATCTCATAAGTATAAAACTTTGTGTTTCGATTCCTTCACCCTTAATCCCCACCAGCCCAGCAGTACATTTCAAGTCTACTTCCTATTTAATTTTCAAGAACCTGCATGTCTCTTCTTCACCATCATGGCCCTAATCCAAGCACACATAAGCAAGCTAGTGTGCTTAACAACCTCCCAACTTTCTCCCACTTTTCTAAACTACACAGTTTAAAGTCCACTTGTTAAATAAAACATTTAGCTAATTCACTGAGTGTTAATTCCCTCAAGACATTCTACATCTTACTGTTCTTGGACCTTACTTACAAGCTCTTACATAGTAATCTTTAAGTCAGCTGGGCTCCACCCCCGTCACCTCACGCCTGGCTATTCTGGCTTTTCTTGAAGTTGTCAAAGCTCAGGTTCACTTGTCCGTCACTCCCTTAAAATTCTGAATTTTTGTTTGAGAGCACTAAGTAGTTTTGTTTAATTGGTATTATTACATCTCCCCTTCTGCTACACAGTAAGCTCCACGGAAGACTTTTTATTTGCTGTTGTGATCCCAGAGGCTGGATGGTACCTCATATAAAACAAAAAGTACTTTTATTCCATGCAAGCTTGGAGTCAGGCAAAGGAGAACAATCTGTAACACTCTTCCCCAGTAGAAGGTAAACTTCCTTGACAATAAAAATTATATTCCACTTTGACTCACAAATACTAGTGGCCAATAGGTAGCTGGCCGACAACAGAGCAGGTGAATGACTAGACGGTATAAAGCTACACATCTTTGGCTACAGACAGCAGGTTTATAAAGAATAATGGTTCCCTTTTCCTTAGTGACTAGCAGCATGAAAACAAGCCAACGCCCACATTCTGGGTGTTGATACTGATTAGCTATATCTGGGTGGCTAACTTACCAGAGCAGACTTCCCCACGCCTCCTGAACCAAGGACCACTAGCTTGTACTCACGCATGATGTGCTCTGTTTAAATACTGACAACCTGAAAAACAAAAAAGGGAAAATAAAAATTCACAAACATACAAAACAACTTAAGAATGTAGCATCAAATAGAGGGTTTTGCTTAAAAGATTTTCCCTTGACGTTATCTAGCCAGAGCACTAGGGTTACTGAGCAAAAATCAAATAGTTTTCAATAATAGCTTTATAGGACCAGTGCCAGACACTTTAATTTACTGAAGATGACCTCCTACTAGGTATCAATCATTAAGTCTAATATAGTTTACATTTTATCTATTTACTCAAAGGGAGAAAACTGTTTTTTAAATTTAAATTTCGTTTTTTATGTGCAAGAGTATTCTGATTGCTTGCATGTCTGTGCACTACATGTGTGCCCGATACCCATGGAGGCTAGAAGACAGCACCAGATCCCCTGGAACTGTAGTTATTAATGGTTGTAAGCCACCATGTAGGTGCTGTCAATCAAACCTGAGTTATCTACAAGAACAGCAGTGCTCTTAAGGTCTGAGCCATTTCTCCAAGACTCCTGACATAGTGGTTTCTTTAATATTATTATGGTCATGTTTATATTATATAACATATACTGAGGAAAGGAGATCAGTTAGGAAGCCACATCTGTAGTTCAGTGAGAACTGGTGGAGACTGTATAGTCACACTATACACTGAGAAGGGAGCAGTGCTTTTCTGAAAGTATGGGACTCTAACTGATCAGAGATAATTGTTGGGAGAAAAAAATGAAAGGCAAACATAACTTCTAATTATCTAGCTTGAGCAAAAAAGTGGTTGATAGGACACCTGCAACTGAAGCAGAAACATTTCTTGGAGAAATTCTCTGAGAGTCCTGTGGGAAAATTATGTAATAGAATTGATGACTAGTTTTGAAACTCAAGTTTGGAAGGGACTAGAAAGACAGCAGCAATTAAAACCACAGCAGCAGATGAAACCAACTAAAAAACAGTCAGTGAAAAGAGAAAAAAGCTAAGAAGGAAGCTTGAAAATAACTCCATGTTATCAGAGACAGAAGAAGGGAAAGGGGAGGTGTGGTAAGTCTGTCCTTGACAAACTTATGTGGGCATTCTAAACACGTATTAGATAGTGCTCTCATTAACTGAGAACAACGCTGATGGCTAAATACAAAGCATATTGTTCCCTGCACCAAGACGGTTCTATCCTTATCCAAGCTTCTTAGGGACTGCTATCATTATGACAATGTGTGAACTCACTAGCTCTCACAGGGTAATCACAATACAGCAACAGTGAATTAGCTTATATTTCTCAAATGCCTCCAGATTTTCTACGGAAACAGGAATTAGGGAAAGAATTCAGAGATGATCAAATTACTTGAGGGAATTCTCCAACAGCAGAGTATTTAGCTTCTGTTCCTTAACAAAATGGTTAAGATATCCAACTTTCAAAGTCATACAGAATACTGGTTGTAGATATACATATATAGGCACATCCATCGAAATAATAAAATAGCTTGTCCAACAAGTACACACATACAAATTATCAGGAAGAGTAATTGGAGCTAACATTTTCTTTCTAAAGGGAGAGTTACTTCTAACACATCACTGCCAAGGAAGAAAACCACTATATTCTTCCAAGCAAACTCTATGTCTTTTTATGGAAATCTCTGCACTTCCAACAAGCACCAGAAAATGTCTTACTTTGGCTAAGACTACTGACAAATACAGAGGACAGGATAAACATGGCACTCTGTTTAAGTTTTAAGTCAATCTCGACTCCTTAACATTATGGTTCAAGTTCTAAATTTTTTTTCACTCTTTTTTTCGGCAAAACTAGTCTTAGAAAATAGCATAACTTGGTTGTCAAAGCAAATAAATCCTAAATTTTGTTTTATAATTTTAAAAATACACAAACTAAATAACTTTAAGATGAAAGTTTTCCCTGAAAATTAAACCTAAAATATAAAATTCACTAAAGAAAATCAAGTATTTGGATGAGGTGAGAAATTTTAAGACACTTGAGCTAAACTTTAATAGTAGGGACCCCAAAGGTGCTCTCCTAGAACAGCTTTCTATACTTAATCTTATTCATTTATTCATTCATAGACAGTCTCATTATGCAGCCCAGGATGACATGATCTAGACTATGTAAACAAGGCTGGCCTCTGACACAGAGATCTGCCTGCCTCTGCCTCTGGAGTGCTGGGATTAAAAGTGTGTGTCACCTTTTATTAAGACTGGGCAAGGCAACCCAGTATGAGGAATAGGGTCCCAAAAGCCAGTAAAAGTGTCAGAGACAGCTCCTGCTACACAACTGTCACATATATGCTGAGGGCCTAGGTCTTAACACAAGGCGAGGTACTTAGTCTTACTGCAATTTGATATGCCATGTTTTGTCAACATCCATGGAGGCCTGCCCTTTTCCAAACAGAAATGGAGGAGAAGTGGACAGGAGGGGCAGGGGAAGTGGGCAGAAGAGACTGGGAGGACAGGAGAGGGAAAACTGCAATCGGGAAGTAAAATGAATGAATGAATAAATGAATGAAGGAATAAGGAAATAATTGCAAACAGTGTGTGCCACACCATATCCCACCCCACGGTTCAATGTTTGCAGATATCAACAATATTATTTATTTATTTATTTTTGAGATAGGGTTTCTCTATTATATAGCACTGGCTATCCTGGAACTCATTCTGTAGACCAGGCTGGCCTCAAACTCAGAGATTCACCTGCCTCTCTCTTCCAAGTGCTAGGATTAAAGCATGCACCACAACACCTGAGTCAATATTTTAAAACTAGCAAATGGGGCAGAGGCTGGAGCTTATTGGTTGAACACAGCATGCAACTCTGGGTTGGATTCTCAGCACTGTCAAACAAAATAGAATAAAAACTCTGACAAGTGGCCACAGGATGTTTTAGGGAGGGGAAATGCATACAGAAACCAGAACAAGATTTAACTTTCTAAAACAACCATTTTAATAGTGCAATATAGCAAAAACTCCAATTTCTGATATGAAACTGTATGATACCTATCTCACTGAAAGCATTCACCTTGAACCCTCTTTTCTTGTAGTTCCTAATATTCTCTAGACTAGGACACTTGGGGAAGGGAGTATATATATACATATACATGTATATATATACATATACTTATATATACACACACACATACAGAAACTGAGGAGGAAAGGAAAGGAAAGGGAAAAGGAAAAGGGAGGGGAGGGGAGGGGAGGGAAGGGGAGGGGAGGGGAGGGGAGGGAAGGAGCCTTGTGGTGTATGGGATAGATTGGTGAGCACTTCTCAGGCTCACCATGCACCATGCATGCTCACCATGCACCCAAATCCACAGGTGTTCAAGTTCCTTATATACCACAACATCTGCATGACTACATATATCTTCTTATATACTTTAAACCATTTCTAGATTACTTGTGACCCTTGACAAAATGTGAACGTATGTAAGTTGTTACCATCACATGTTATTCGATACAAGATAAAAATGCACATGCTCCGTACAAATGCTATTTTTTTTCTAAAATTTTTTATTCATGGTTAGTTGAAATCACTAACACAGAAGCTAAGGATAATTCATGTCAACTGTATTTCATCAGACTATAACCTAAAACACAAAACATTTATTATATAGTGCCTTAAAAGAAAAGATTACTAATCCCTGCTTCAGTTTACCAAAGGAAATATTAATATATCCAGAGGACTGGACAAGAAAAGGGTAAAAAATATTAGAACAGAATATAAAAGAAAATTAACTGCAATGATTACTGTATGTCTACCATGCTGTGTTAAGCACTTTATATGCTACTATTTTTAATTATCACAACAGTCTTTATAGTCTCATTTATCCTCGTTTTTAAAAAAGATTTTTTATTTTTTGTATAAAGGTGTTTTGGCTACATATGTGTCTGTGCACCATATGCATGTAGTATCCAAGGAAACCAGAAGAGGGCAGTGGATCCCCTGGAACAGGAGTTATAGACAGGTATATTACCATTTTTATAGATGAGTCAGAGAGGCTAACATCAAGTAAGCTCCTCAGAGATGAAGGGCTGATTTCATTTAGATGAGAAAGGATAACCACAAATCAGAAAAACTATTTGAGACAATAAAATTTAAGATTATAACAAACTCTGAAGAAAACAGGTAAGAGACCCTGTGGGAGGCTGTAAAATAAATGTTTAAAGACCTTTCCAGGTTATAATGTTTATATAAAAGATATAAAACATGATTATATAAAAAGTTGGTAGATGGGGTGAAGAGGAAAGCAAGGTTAAAATAAGAGTCAGTTACTGAGTTTATATACTGAGCCCAGAGTGTAGAAGGACAGAGATAGGGAATACACAGTATGAGTGTGCTACGATTCGAATATCTGCCAATCTCATGTGCTGAAAACGCAATCCTCAAAGTCATCTCTTTATTTGAGAGGTGGGACTGAATCATAAGGACTTCAATCATTAACAAAGAATTACTGGGTTGTCTGAGGATTGGCTTTGTTCTATAAATTTGTTCTATAAGCATTTTCCTTTGCTTTAGAAAAGAATTTGTCTCTATACATAGAAAAATTTCAAGTCTAAACAACTGTGGAAAACTTAAAGCCAACAAACTAGATGAAAATACTTTAAAAATAAGTAGGAAAGGTGCTAAGGAATGGCTCAGTGATAAAGTGTGTGCTGCACAAGCATAGATTCCCAGCATACAAATAAAAAGTCAAATGTGGTGTCTTGGGTCTGGTGGTGCATACTTCTAACTCCAACACTAGTGAGGTGGGGATGGGCAGAAGGGGAGCTGGGGTCGAATGGGGTGGGGTGGGGTGAGAGGCAACCAGTTTTACCAAAACAGTGAGTTCAAGTTCAGTGGAAAACTATATCCTCCCTAAATAAGGTGGAGAAAAACAAATGGATATCTGACATCAACCTCTAACACTAACATATAAGACATATATATACATATATATATGCACACTTGTATCCTATACACCCACATCTACACCACAAATTACTATTTACACACCTACACACCTACACACACACACACACACACA